AAAGCGCTAAGTTGGCAACACTGCTCTTTGCATGGTTTGTTTTCAAATGTTTTGCTGCTTTCTGTTTGGACCTTTCTGAACATGTGCAGCAAATGGACTGATCCAATATTATAAGCCTTCTGATTTTTTTTAGAGAAAGAATTAATGTCAAAAAACATAATTAATGTGCACAAATACGGAATAGTTGTATTAACCATACAAGTAAACAGAGTTTTATGGATTTCCCATTAACTCGGGGCCCTAAGTAATACCCTAGTATTGCATAATGTTGAACCCCCCCAGGGTCATAGATTTTGTTATAGGGCTGTCTTAGATTGCTCAAGGTGACAGAGACTCTAGGTTTAAATCCTAGCCTGAGGGGTTGCTTGATGTGCCTTAAAATCAAATTTTTTTTTATTCCATTTCTGATTCCTTTCCATTTAGTTTCATAAAAATTTGTTATAAATGACCACATTTACTTATAGAAGCTTTTATTTCTGTTCGTACCTCTGCGAGTTGACATGAACTCCAAGTGTAACTAAATCCAAGCTGTTAAAATAACAGCATCACTACATCATCTACTGAGATCCTCACATGAGGTGAGAAGCCATTCAGTGAACAGTTATTGTTACTGGTTTGCCTTAGACCAGGGCTTCTCAAAGTACAGGTTGGGACCCCCTAAGACCCCCAACCATTGTGATATGATTCCTGAGGCTTGTGGAGGGAGGAAATAAATCCTGAAAATACACATACGTCCCAAATTAACTTCTTATTATGGGATTTTTGCTTGTAGCACCTTGAGATAGTTATATAACCTGAACTACAAAAAAATACTGTTTTATCTTTTATCCCCAACTGGGAATATCAATGGATTTTCTGTTGTGTGCATTGTGAAATAATTCAGCCCAGGTTTAAACTGTATTTTAGATTTGAAACTGAAACCTACCACTGATAAGTCCAGAGGCCTTTGGCTGAAAAGCCGACTGTGTAGCTGCAAAGCGAATACCAACTTCAGCTCTACAAGGGCGACATGGACCAAGCAGGATCTGATTCAATTCAATCCCGTTTATTTATATACAGTAGTGGCAGTTCACAACACATGTCATCTAAAGGCACTTTACAGATTCCAGGGTCCTGTTCCATGAAAGCTGAATTCAGAAATCCTTGAAAATGATCTAATGGATCCAACCTGATCAACGGATCCTGGCTTCATCCGTTCCTCAAACACCAAGCTAGGTTCACAGCTGCAGCTTCTCAGGCCCGGTGTAAATATTCAAGCTTCTTCAAGAGACCACAAGGTTAAACCCAGGTTAATTGATCAACAGAAAAAAGCAGAACGACTAAATCCAGAAACAGAAACAAAACACAACATTTTAACAACTTTTCTTGAAACGTTATAATAGAAGGATTTACTTGTTCATTCTGAGTGAACAGTGGAATTAGGGCTGGGCAATAAGACGATACATATCGTACGGACGATAGAAAAGTGTCTATCGTGCTAATTCTATTCTATCATTTCTATCGTTTCTAACACAATTGTATCTCATATTCATGCAAATATTTCCCATGGTAGACTACGACAATCGTATTAGTGTAGCCACGTAGCCTACACACAGCTTATAAGTGATAATCAAGATTTTTTTTTTTTAATCCACAAAGAAGCGGCGTCCTGTGGTTTTTGCAACATGACGCTTCTTTACGGGTTTTTGACTCACACGCGGGTTTGCGACATGCTTTACGTTACTTAACTCATGAGAG